CCAACATCAATAGGCCAGAGTACCTGCAGGAAATGACATGCACAAAATGTTGTTTGAGTGCCCACAATGTCAAATTCTGGTACCGTGTATTCTCACTATTTTCCTTCCTGCTCTAAAATGCCAGTGTACATTATTAGATTTCCATATTTGGGGAGTATTTTCTTTCTGGAAAACAGGCCCCAGGAACACTACTCATGACTTGAGTGACAAATAAGAAAAAAATAATGTATTGTATGAAAACCTACCATGGATTGAGGCTTAACATTAAGTAGTCCTCAACAGTGATGATAAGCTGTGGTAAGAGAACCACATATGGGCCTGCAGGATGGGACTGGGAGTGTAGTCTGCTATGGTCTAGGATTATTTTCTGCTGAAAGGTGAGAGGAATCCATTAACTTCAGGCTTTGACTAATTGGACATCAAGATCAGATAAGGAGATTGTCACCATCAACACCATGCCCAAACCTTGAAAATTCTGTTATTGCTTTGAAACCCTGCCTGCCTCCTGACTTCATTTATTTCCTTTTAGCTTCCTTATTCTTCAGAATTCTGGTCTCTGTTAACTCAGACCAGCCTGGTCAGTGTGACCAACTTTAGACTATACAACCTCCGAACTTGCTAAAGGTTTTCCCCAACTAAAATCTCTATTTTGTCTGGAAATGGTGACTCATGCCTTATAAATCCCAACTCTTTGAGGGGTCAAGGCAGAAGAATTGTTTGAGACCAGCCTGGGCAACATAGCAAGACCCCATCACTACAAAAATTTTAAAAATTAGCTGGGCACAGTGGTGCGAAAGCTGTGGTCCTAGCTACTAGGGAGGCTGAGATGGGAGGATCACTCAAGCCCAGGAAGTCAGAACTATAGTAAGCCAAGATCATACTGCTGTACTCCAGCCTGGGCAGTAGAGTGAGACCCTGTCTCTAAAATAAATAAATACAGTGGGGAAATAAATTGTACTGTAATGGTTATAAATTTTTGGTACAGAATGTCTATAATTGAGAGAATTTTTAAGTAAAATTTTAAGTTTGTTGATCTGGCACAAGTTGAAAGCAACTGTTGTTTTTGGTGCTTCTGATTCATTTTGCATTTCTAATTTTGAACTATTTGAACATCTGAATCAGTTCAGACTGTTTTAAACCAGGTTATACCAGTCTAAACAAGTAAAAACCATTTTATAAATGTCTTGAACTAATTACTAGCAGTTTGATGAAATCAGAGCAAGTGTGACTCGACTGAAAATAGTTTTATCAGCACCAGCTTGATTCAATAAAATGTACTTGGAACCAAACAAAACTTATGTGACCAGGACAAGAACCTGTCTATTTGAGCTGGCTATAACCAGTCTAAAGCAATTAAAGGTATTAAAATGACTCTCAGATAATTTTGGTTAGATAGTCTGGATTTAGCCAAAGTGCTTTTAGAGCAATCTGTAATAGTTTTGTAGGTAGAACCTCTTTTATCTCAACTGTTTTAACTTACTCTATACTAATGTGAACCAGTCAGATTTTCTTCAAGTATGAGCTTGCTAAAATGGATGGGAGTGTCTTATATGAATTTGAACCTATCTTTAAGTTGATCAGAACTCTTTTGAAATAGATAAACCTATTTTAAATGAGTTGCAAATGGTTAGAACCAGTCCCCACTCCCCCCCCCCCCAAAAAAAACCAGAATTAGTTTGAAAGTAGCAAACTACTTAAGCCACTCAGCAGTCTTTTCTGCTAGGAAAAAAAACATGATTTGAGCTGGCTGGAGCAATTTCAGAATTTGTTTTGGGTCTTCAGAATCAGTCTGGATGTCTGCAATGGGGAGAATACAGTGAGTTGAGGCTTAAGTACCCAGTATATATGCCAAGCATTGTGCTGGGCACTCCACAAACAGTATCTCATTGAATCTTCAGAACAATGTTGTGAAGTACTGTGTGTAACCATCTTTTTTATAGACTGGAAACATGGAAATCTAAGGCTCAGAGATATCCAAGTAGTTGGTGTATGGGAGCCTTGGGATTCATACCCAGCTCTACTTGACTTTATGTGTCACTTCTAAGCCCAATATGCATTTGTTAAAAAAAAATGAGTAATGGATATGAAACTTGGAATAGAATAGACATGGCACTTAGAACTTGGAGATCTAGGTTCTAGATGGTACAAATAAGTTTACCTCTCTGGGTTCTGTTTTATCCTTTAGAAAAATGAAACCAGAGAGTAAAAGTTCTGAGCATTATTTTCAGATCAAAAAAGCAGATAATTATCTTTAAGGTACTGTCCGAAAAGTCCAAACTTTAATTAGTATTGATAGCAGTGTCTACACCTTCAGTTGGTGGTATCTGGCTTGTTAGTTTTTTCTTTTATGATGTCTTGGTTAGTATTGCTATCATAAGTAGAAAACAAAACTCACAAAGATCATTTGTAGACTTGCATGTGTGATTCTTCACCCATGAAAATTAAACACATTAAATTGTTGATATAACATAGTTTCATCTAAGTTTTTATTTTTCGGTTAGTAGATTTAAAATAATTTTTTTTTTTTTTTTAAGAAATAGAGTCTGACTCTGTTGCCCAGGCTGGAGTGTGGTGGTGTAATTATAGCTCACTACAGCCTTGAACATTTGGGCTCAAGCAATCCTCCTGCCAGCCTCCGAGTAGCTGGGGTTACAGGGTCATGTTACCATGCTTGGATAATTTTTTGTTTTTATTTTTTGATAGAGATGAGATCTTGCTATATTGCCCAGTCTGATCTTGAACTCCTGGGCTCGTGATCCTTCCGCCTTGACCTCTCAGTGTGCTGAGATTATAGGCGCGAGCCCTTGTGCCTGCCTTCACCTAAGTCTTTGAATTTCACGTAAGTGAGTTTAGAGAATTCTAGAATATTGATGCCTTTAGTGTTAGCATGTTCTCCTATACCTTAAGCGATATAAAAAATATAGTTGTAGAAAAGACCAACTTTTTTTCAAATAAAATATAAAGAGGAAATAAGGTAGTAACAGCACTTTCTTACATCATTCTCATTATAGACTTGGGTTGTTTTCTGCTTTCCTATTCAATTCGAGCGGAACCCTTCAAATGATTAACAGTTATCTGGTCTTACTTTTCAGTTCTTAGTTCTTATTTTTTGACTAAATGGAGCCAAGTGAGATGCTGACTTAGCATAATTTCAGCATGACATGACATGCTAGAATGTTGATACCCAAATGGTCACCCCTCTCCCCCATGTCAATAACTTCTGAAAATCAGAAAAAAATTACTAGTTATGCCCAAGCGGTCATCTTTTGGAGAGGAATTCTGTTATATATTTTTAGTACTGGTGACTGCATCTACAAATGCAGAAGCTGTTAGTATAAAAACGCCATCATCTGTGTAGTGTCACTCTTTATAATGTGCAAATAGAATTATGAATGTTTGTAGAGGCTCTGCCCTTATTGAATGGCTAGCCATATCTGAAATGTGAAGCCACAGATCAGCATTAAGGCACTCTGAGGAAGTACATTGCAGCAGCTCTTGGGGTTCAGCATTCAGGAATTTTCAGCATTAGGTGAGTCACCAAGTAGAGGATGAGGTGGGGGAGGCAACCTTGAAGATTGATATTCTTGTCTGAGTTTTTATTAATTTTAGGGATCTATAGAAATAATCCTGCAGGAAGCACTGAGTGTAACAGCAAAGCTTCTGGATATTTGGCTGGGTGAAAAGGGGACAATGCCAGGAAGTCAGTATCTAACACAGGGCATCTGGCATGTGTGTAGTCAGTTGAATATGTATGTTTGAATGACCAGGCAAAGTTGTCAGTAGTATGGAATAGCTAGTCATTTTTCTGATTTTTGGGAGAATTTATTGGAATTGGGAAGGAATTAAGTGAGATTGGTTAATGGGTACAAACATTAGATAGAAGGGATAAGTTCTAATGTTCAATAGCAGAATAGGGTGGCCACAGTTAACAACGATGTATATTTCAAAATAGCTAGAAGAGAAGACTTGAAATGTTCCCACATATCCTGACTTGATCATTACGCATTCTATGCATATAACAAAATAGCACATGTACCCCATGAAATGTACAAATATTATGTAGCAATAAAAGATTTAATAAAGAAGTAAGTGTTCCCTGGAAAGAGACTCTATTGCCAATTGGACTGATATTTTGGGGTTGAATCTGTTTAGAGTATAAAAACAAATCGTGAAAAGTGCCAATTATAAGGGATCAAAAATAACCATGGTTAGGTATTACTGATAAAAACAAATTTTTCTTCCTTAAGGTAGAATTTTGGTTTAATCAGTATTAAAGAGCTGAATTTTCAGCAGTTCTTGTTAGAATACTCAGGTAGGGGTAGGTAAATGAGACTTTATTTGTGGAACTATGCTATCTGAGCAGTGACTGCTCACATCTGGAACTCAGTTCCCACGTGAGCAGTGATATTCCAGAGAAGCCTGATTTAGTACATATGATAATATGTAAATTTTACTTGTGAATTAACAGTGTCTTTGAAGAAACTATAGTAACATATGAAAATGAATAGCATAAATGAAATTATCTAGGTGTACACATAAAAAAAGAGAAAAGTCAGGGATCCAGTACTAGGAGACCTTTAAAAAGAAGGGGAGATTGGAGCCACTTGCACACTAAGATTTGAAAATATTATTTCTTATAACATTTTCCTTCCTTTTTTTTCTTTAATTAGTTTTTGTCCTATATGGTCTGCAAATAAGACTTAGTGACTATTATTTTCTTATTGCTTATTATTCTCACTGGAATTTTTGCCTTAATAGTACTATAATATGTATGTTAAAGTAAAACCAAACTGTTATTTGTTTCAGTAGCTTCTCAGCTGGCCAGTTATCAGGTCCTCAGGAATAGTAAACAATATATAACCCTTTCTTCATATAATCCCTAGACATATAAATGTTTCATAGAAGTGCTTGTTGAACTGAATATTGCTGTCACATCATGAATGGATAACTCCAATGTTCAGATGGATTTTAATAAATACTCATTTGTTTATATGTTGCAGGTGAACCACTGAGTTCTTCATTATGTCTGATGGAGATTATGATTACCTCATCAAGTTTTTAGCTTTGGGAGACTCTGGAGTAGGGAAGACCAGTGTACTTTACCAGTACACAGATGGCAAGTTTAATTCCAAATTTATCACAACTGTGGGCATTGACTTCAGGGAAAAAAGAGTGGTAAGTTCTCTATCCTATATAAAAATGTAATCTTTTTTTTTTTTTTTTTTTTTTGAGTTGGAGTCTCACTCTGTCGTTCAGACTATAGTGCAGTGGCCGCTCCTGGCCACCGCAGCCTCGACCTGCTGGGCTCCGGAGATCCTTCTGCCTCAGCCTTCCAAGCCGCTGGAACTACAGGCGGGCGCTACCACATCCGGCTAATTTTTGATTTATTGTAGAGATGAGGTCTCGCCAAGTTGCCCAGGTGGGTCTCGAACCCGCGGGCTCAGGCAATCCACTCACCTCAGCCCCCCAAAGGCGCAGGATTATAGGCTGAGCCACCGAGCCCGGCTAAAAATGTAATCTTTGAGTCAACATTTGTCCAGCTCTTTAGTTTACTTTGCAGGAATTAGGAGGACAAAGGTTGGGATCTAAAATTAAGGGCTATATATGAAAGTGTGTTATGTTCAATGTGGGCAATGTGATTGCAAAGGCTGTGTTAAAGGCTGTGCAAAGGCAGAGTAAAAGTGAACAATTCTTTTAGATTTTCTCTTCTTACATTTTCTAAATTAAAACAAAATTTTTTTTGAGTTGTCTCACTCTGTTGCCCAGACTGGAGTGCAGTGGCATCCTTACAGGTATCACAGCCTCAACCAGCTGGGCTCAGGTGATCCTTTCACCTCAGCCTTCCAGGTAGTTGGAACCTCAGACACGTGCTACCACGCCCCGCTAATTTTTTGATTTATTGAAGAGACAAGGTTTCACCATGTTGCTCAGGCTGGTCTCGAACCCCTAGGCAATCCTCTTGCCTCCACCTCCCAAAGTGCTAGGATTACAGGCTTGAACCACTGCACCCAGCTCCTTGGTACCTTTTGTTTGTATCTTCTCTTCTGTCCTCCACAACATTATTTGTCTACTTTTGCCTTGAAGCCTGCCATTTACCTTGCCCCTCCCACCCCTGATTTTTGGGCTATAACTTCCACCTTTGGCACCTTATAATTTTTTAATGGCAGTTCTCTTAGTGAAGCCTCAGCAATTCCACATGGAATACTAAGTGGTAGAACTCATCACAGCTGCCAGGAGGGTGAGGTTGGAGTAGGAGTGGGGAATCCAGGCAGTGGATGTGATGATGCTCTGCAGATTATTGAAGGGAGAGGCTCTTTTTTTTTTTTAAAGCCCTCAAGACTGCAAGTTATTCTAGTAGTAGAGAGGAAGGCAGATGGCCATTGGAGATAAGGGAAGATGGCCTTCTCCGTGGACTACATTTCTTGCTGAAAAATTCACTGCTACTCTGAAATAGGCCAACAAGTGGTCAGGAGATTAATGACAAAGACCCTTCAATGGAGCTTACTCTGTCAGGAGAGATACAGGGTTCCTGGCTTCCAGGATAGAAGATCATTCCCTTTGCCCACTTTTTTTCTCTATTACCAGAGAGAATTATAGAGACTTAGACTCACTGAGTAAGAATGGGATCTTAATGTAATTTTTAGTATTGACACATGATTTGTAGAATCTATCCATCCGATTGTTTTTGTTAACTCTCATTTTATAACCTTGTTTTTTAAAAGATAGATTTGTTGAGATATAATTCACAAAAGATAAAATTCATCCATTTAAAGTGTACTATTCAGTGGTTTTCAGTATATTCTACAGTTATGCAACCATCAAAATGGTACCATAATATCTTGATTACTTTGTAGCTTTTGTTTATCCATTCATCTTTTGATGGACACTTTGGTTCTTTTTAGTTATTATGAATAACGATTCTATTGACGTTCATATATAATTTTTTGTGTGAATGTATGTTTTATCCTTAATTTTAGAGACCCCGTACCTGTTAGCAGTGATTCTCCATTTCTCCTCCCCTAATCATGAATCTACTGTCAATGTATTTCCCAATCCGGACACATCATAGAAATAGAATCACGCGAAATGTGGCCTTTTATGCCTGCCTTCTTACACTTAGCATAATATTTTCAAGTTCCTTCCTTGCAGGAGCATGTGTCAGGACTTCATTCCTTTTTATGACTGAATAATATTCCATCATATCGAAATACTACATTTTGTTTATCCATTCATCTTTTGGTGGACATTGGGTTTCTTTTTAGTTATTATGAATAATGACTCTGTTAACATTAATATACAATTTTTTGTGTGAATTTTTAAAATTGATCTTGGATATATGCCTAGGAGTGAAATTGCTTGATAATATGATAACGACTTAACTTTTGAGGAATTTTCATATTTTTCCAAAGATGCTCCACCATTTGACATTCTCATAGCAGTGTATAAGGGCTCCAGTTTTCCTCCATCCTTAACAACACGTGCTATTTTCTATTAGATTATAGCCAATATCTATCTACATCATATAAATACATAGCATGTATGATTATTCTGTGCTGTGCATTATAAATTTAAAAATTTTAATTATAAATAGGAAAAGAACCAAAGGCCAGTGAAGTTAGATGGTGGTTTGAGGTTGGGTTGTGTGTGTGTGTGTGTGTGTGTGTGTGTGTGTGTGTGTGTGTGTGTATGTGTGTGTTTCTAAGAAACATGATATGCAAATAGTTTTAGTTCTTATATTTAGGTTTGTGATCCATTTTGAGTTAATTATTGTGTATGGTGTGATAAGGATTCAACTTATTCTTTTGAGTGCAGATATTTAGTTGTTCCAGCATCATTTTTTTTTTAAAAAAGACTATTCTTTCCCCCTAGTAAATGATCTTGGCACTCTTCATTAAATGGCCTTGGCACTCTTGCTGAACATCAGTTGACCACAAATGCAAATGTTTATGTCTGGACTCTCAGTTCTATTCCATTCATCTATATTTCTATCCGTATGCCAGTATCATGATATCTTTTTTTTTTTTTTGAGTTGGAGTCTCACTCGGTCGCCCAGGTTGGAGTGCAGTGGCCGCTCCCGGCCACCGCAGCCTTGCCTGCTGGGCTCCGGCGATCCTTCTGCCTCAGCCTTCCCAGTATCTGGAATTACAGGCATGCGCTACCACGCCCGGCTGATTTTTTTATTTATTGTAGAGATGAGGTCTCGCTGCCCAGGCGGGTCTCAAACCTGCGGGTTCAGGCAATCCACTCACCTCAGCCTCCCAAAGGCGCGGGATTACAGGCTGAGCCACTGAGTCTGGCTCCATAATATCTTAATTACTGTAGCTTTGTAGTATATTTTGAAGTTGGGAAGTATGAGTCCTTCAAGTTTATTCTTTTTCAAGAATGTTTTGGATCCCTTTCAATTCTGTATATATTTTAGGGTTAGCTTGTCAATTTCTACAAAGAAGTTGGTTAAGACTCTGTTAGAGATTGAATTGAATCTGTAGATCAATTTGCACAGTATTTCCATCTTCATAATATGAAGTCTTCTTATTCATGAACATAGGATTTTTTTCCATTTATTTAGGTTTCTTTTTTTTTTTTCTTTTTTCTTTTTTGTTAGTGGTAGTCTCCTGCTGCTGCCCAGGCTAGAGTATAGAGTACAGTGGCACATTCACAGCCAATGCAGTCTTGACCTGCTGGGCTCAGGCAATTCTTCCACCTCAGCTTTCCACGTAACTGGAACCACAAGCATGTGCCACCAGGCCCAGCTAATTTTTTTATTGTTGAGACAGGGACATGCCAAGTTGCCCAGACTGGTCTCGAACCTCTGAGCTCAAACAATCCTCTCGCCTCTGCCTCTCGAAGTGCTGGGATTACAAGCATGAGCCACTGTGCCTGGCTCCATTTATTTAGATCTTTAAAAATGCCTTTCAACAATGTTTTGTAGCTTTCAGAGTATAAGTTTTCTATTTCTTTTGTTAAATTTGTTCTTAAGTATTTTAATCATTGTGATGCTATTATAAATTAAATTGTTCTCTTAATTTCATTTCTCATTGCTAATGTACAGAAGTACAATTTATTTAGTAAATTGGTTTTATATACTGGAATCTTGATTAACTTGTTTATTAGCTCTAATAGTTTTTGTGTGTCTTTGTGTATTTGTGCCTTCAGAATGTCTATGTACAAGATCATGTCATCTGCTATTTTACTTCTTCATTTCAAATTTGGAAACGTTTTATTTCTCTTTCTTGACTAATTGCCCTAACAACCTTCAGTAAAATATTGAATAGAAGTGATGAGAGGGGACACCTTTGTCTCGCTGTTGATCTTAGGGAAAGAGTATTTAGATGTTAACCATTAAGTATAATATAATCTGTGTTTTTTAAAAAATAAATGTTCTTTAGCAGGTTGAAGATGATCCCTTCTAGTCCTAGTTTGTTGTGTTTTTTGTTTTTAATCCTGAAAGGGTGTTGGATTTTGTCAAATGCTTTTTCTGTATCTATTGAGATGACTGTGTTTTTAGATGTTTATTCTATTAATATGGTGCATTATTATCAATTACTTTTTGTATGGCAAACTAACCTTGCTGTTCCTGTGATACATTCCATTTGGACATGATATATAATCCTTTTGATATGTTGCTGGATTCTGTTTGCTAGTATTTTGGTGAGTATATTCAGAGGGAATGTTTGTCTGTATTTTTTCCCCTACCCTCATGGTGTCTTTGGTTGATTCAGGTATGTGGGTAATAATGGCCTAATAAAATGAGTTGGGAAGTTTTACTCCTTATCTATATGTTGGAAGATTTTGGGAAGGATTGGTATTAGTTCTTCCTTTAACATTTGGTAGAATTCATAAATGAAGACATTTGGGCCTGGGAAGTTGTTTGATTCCTAATTCTTTGTGGGAAGTTGTTTGGTTTCTAATTCAATCTCCTTTGGGTTATAGGTCTGTTTAGATTTTTTATTTCTTCTTGAGTCAGTTTCAGTCCTTTGTGTCTAGGAATTTCTCTCTTTCTTCTACATTATCGCATTTTTTTTCCATGCAATTATTCATGGAGTTTCTTCAAAATCTTTTTATTTTGGTACAGTTGGTAATGTACTTTCTTTTATTCCTGAATTTTTGAGTCTCCTGTTTTTATCCTTGGTCAGTCTAGATAGAGGTTTATAAATTGAGTTGATCTTTTCAAAGAGAAGATGATTTCCACTACACTCTTATTTGTTTTCTTCTGCTTGCTTTGAGTTTCGTTTACACTCGTGTTTCTAGTTTCTTATGATGGCAAGTCAAGTTACTAATTTGAGATCTTTCTTCCTTTTCAATATAGGTGTTTGCAGCTACAGATTTTTCCCTTAGCACTGATTTAGCTTCATTCAATAGTTTTTATATACTGTGTTTTTGTTTTCATTCACCTCAAAGTATTTTATAGTGTCCTTGTGTTTCCTTTTGACACACTGGCTGTTTAAGAGTGTGCCGTTTGATTTTCACTTCTTGGTGATTTTTCCAGATTGCTTTGTGCTATTGATTTCTAATTTTACCCCGTTGTGGTTGAAGGACATACTTTGTCGATAATTTCAGTCTTTTAAATGTCTTTAGGATTTTTTTAGGGCCTAACATATGGTGTAGTCTTGAGAATGTTTCATGTGTGTCTGAGAAGATATGGATTTTGCTGTTGCTAGCTAGAGTATTCTAGTCTATAGATGTCTTATGTATAGTCGGTTTCTAGTGTTGTTCAAGTCTTCTATTTCCTTGTTGACCTGGCTACTTTTTCTATCCATTATTTAAAACGGAGTACTGAAGTCTCTAAATATTGCTGTTGAGTTGTCTGTTTTTCACTTCTTATCCCCATATCTTCTTAATGGGTTGACCCTTTTGTCACTATAAAATATCCTTTGTCTCTAATAACCATTTTTGTCTTAATGTCTATTTTGTTTGATATTAGGATACCACTCCAACTTTCTGTTGATTACTGTTTGCATGGTATATTTTCCCCCAGCCTTTTACTTGTACCTCATTGTATCTTTGACTGTAAAGTGTGTCTCTTGTAGACAGCACATAATTTGATCAAAAATTTAAATCCATTTACAATCTGTCTTTTATTTGGAACTTTTAATCTATTTATATTTATATTAATAATGTCAGATTTACGTCTGCTGTTTCTCTACTTATTTTCTGTATGTATGATATCTTTTTTGTTTCTCTGTTACTGTATTATTTTGCGTTAAATAAAATATTTTTTAGTGGCTGGGCTTGGTGGCTCAACCTGTAATCCCAACACTTTGTGGGGCAGAGACGAGTGGATTGCCTGAGCCCATGGGTTTGCGACACGCTCGGGCAGCTTGGTGAGACCTCATCTCTACAATAAACAAAAAATTAGGTGGGCATGGTAGCACACACCGGCTACTTGGAAGGCTGAGGTAGAAAGATCATTGGAGCCCAGCAGGTTGATGCTGGGGTGGCTGTGAGCATGCCCTGCACTCTGGCCTGGGTGATAGAATGAGGCTCCAACTCAAAAAAAAAAAAGTTATTTTTTAGTGTGCCATTTTAATTTCCTTTTCATTTTTTATGATATATTTTTGAGCTATTTCTTAACAGTTTCCCTGGGGATTGCAATTATTATCTTAATTTTTAACACTCTAGTTTTGGTTAATACTAACTTAATTTTAATACTCTACAAAGCCTTGCTCCTATGGCTCTGTTTTCTCCTCCTCCTTTGTGGTTTATTGTCATACAAATGACATCTTGTTTACATTGTATGTCTATTGATACAGATTTAAAGTTATTGCTTTATCCACTTGTATTTTAATCAGAAAGAGGAAAGGGTTACAAACAAAAATAGATTTGTATTGTCTTTTATATTTACTTGTGTAGTTACTTTTATTGGTACTATTTATTCTTTTGTATGGATTTGAATTACTGTCTAGTTTCCTTTCAGTTCAGCCTCAAGAGCTGTGTTTAGTGTTTTTTATATGGCAGGTCAGCTAGAGATGACTTTTCTCAGTTTTGTGAATGTGTTAATTTCTTTTTCAATTTTAGAGAATAGCTATGGATATAGAATTCTTGGTTGATAGTCTTTTTTCTTTCAGCAGTTTGAAAATTTTCAAAAATTTTTTAGTGTTTTTTATTGAATTTTACATTTCAGCTATTGTACTTTTCAACTCCAGAATTTCTATTTACTTCTCTTTTTATGACTATCTCTTGGGTGATAGTCTCCATTTAGTAAGTAATTGTTCTCATACGTTTCTTGATTTTTTTTTTAGACATGATTTTCTTTAGTTCCTTGACCATATTTATAATAGCTTATTTAAAGTCTTTGTCTAGTAAGTTCAACATCTGTAGTTCCTCAGGAACAGTTTCTGTTGGTTGCTTTTTTTCTATATATGAGTCATATTTTCTGTTTTTTTGTGTGTCTTGTAAGTTTTTTTGAAAGCCAAAAATTTAAAATAATGTAACAACTCCAGAAATCAGATCCCCACACTCTCCTGACTTCTTGATTTTGCTATTTATTTATTTTTGTTGATGCTGTCTGTTTAGTAATGTTCCTCAAACAATTCTGTAAAGTCTGTATTCATTGCTGTGTGCAGCTACTGAAATCTCTACTCAGTCTGCTTAGTGGACAACTAATGAGTGGACAGAGTTTCTGAAATTAATTAATTAATTAATTAATTAATTAATTAATTTTTTTGAGTTTGAATCTGACTTTGTTGCCCAGAGTGGAGTGCAGTGGCATAATCACAGCAACTTCAACCTGTTGGGTTCAGGCAATCCTCCCTCCTCAGCATTCCAAGTAGCTGGAACCACAGGTGAATGCCACCATGCCTGGCTAATTTTTTGATTTATTGTAGAGACAAGGTCTTACCAAGTTGCCCAGGATGGTCTCCTTCCCTGGTCTCAGGCAATCCTCTTCCCTTCCCTTGGCCTCCCAAAATGCTGGGATTACAGGCATAAGCCACTGTCCCCAGCTCTGAAGTTTCTTCAACCATTAAGTCTTTCAGCTTTTTCTGAGGGGCTCTGTGTGTGTATTAGGACATGTGTTTAATTCTGCTGAGGGCAGTTTACAACTCTACCTTAACCTTTACTTACTGCTTGAGAAGAGCTTCAAGGTCAATCAGAGGTGAGCAATAAGGGCATTTTTAGGTTGTTCCTGGGCATATGACGAAGCCTGCACATGAACATGTCCTTGTAGGTTCCGAAGAATTTGGGGGAGCATTTTGAATCTCCTTATGGACATCTCCTTTTCCATTGTTTTCCTTTTTTAAGTTTTGTTGTTGTTGTTTAGGTTTTTGTTAGCCCTTACTGGTATTGACTACCTCTGGTAGCTGTGTTGTTAAATAATTGCTGCTGATAGTTTTCCACAAATGTCTTTGGCATAGGTCTGTTCTCAAAAAGCAAGCTCAGAGTGAGATCACATAAAGGCAAGGCCTGAGAATAGAGCTTTTCAGGGAGCATCCTGGCAGCTCTCTGAAGATGAGATGTTCAGGGAGCTCCAAACTTGTTCTGCCTTCACTGTCTGCAGTGGCTACTAGGCTGATGGTTTTCACAACTATTGTAGTTATATATTTTTTAAAGCTACTGCAGAGATGGAGTGAAGGGAATGGTAGCAGGGCAAGTTAAAAACACCACAAAGTTTACTGTTTTTACTGTTATTTAGCCATTTTTCTAGAATAAACACTCCTTGAAGTGTTTCAAGTCTGTGTTAATTTCCAGAGTTCTGAAATAGTTGATTTTGACAATTTTTGCCAGTGTTTTTGTTGCTTTTATGGAAAAATTAATTTTTGGAAGTCCTTTCTCTGAAGTTCTAGGGAGTGCTTTCTTTAAAATTTTTAAAGAAAACTTTAAAAGATGGGATAGAAAAGCTGTAGAAAGTAATATTTCCTGTAGATAGTGACCCAAGGGAACTTTGAAGAAAGGAAAGCTGATTCTTATTTTTTATACAAATTATTTTATTTACATATTTTATATATTTTAAAAATATGTGTATATATAATTTACGTATTTACATATATGAAGAGGAACCCAAGAAAACCCATAATTATTTATTTAAAAAATTGTGTATTTATTCTTACATGTTTAAACTTCAGTCACCTTCAAAGTACTCTCCATTCGTTGCAGTATACCTACTGAGATGCTTTTTCCACTGCTCAAAAAATTTTTGTGGTTTTTTTTCCTTTTTAAATTTTTATTTTAAAGATGTGGAGTACAGTTCAGGGTTAGGTATACAAATGTTCATAATGCAGGTACCCTTGTTGATGAGGTGTGTTCCTCCCACCCCCAGGTAGATTTCCACTACTGCCAATCCTGCCCTCCTTCAGCTCCCCCCCACAGTTTCCTACTACTGGTAATTCTTTTCTAATAGTATTACAATAATTGTTCAAGGTCCGCTTATGAGTGAGCACATGTAATACTCAGTCCTTTGTTTCTTCAAAACTACTTCTGAACTTGTCATTTTGGATGCTTTTTAGTGCTTCTGTAATTTTTTGTTTCAAATCTTCCACATCAGCAAAACAGTTCCCTTTGAGAATTTTTTTCATCCAGGGAAACAAACAAAAAAAGTAACTTGGGGTAAGAGCGGGTGAATAGGGAGGGTAGGGCACAGGAGTCATGCTGTTTTTGGTCAAAAACTGCTGAACACTCAGTGTAGTGTGGGTAAATGTGCTTGTGAATCACCCATCATGAAATGAACAAACATGTTGAAAGTATCTCCAAAAAAAATTCACTGAAGCCGAATACAGCCTCTTACAACACTAGCTGGCACACTGATGCTGATGGGTTCCTAGAACACCTACCTAGTGGGGGAAGCCTGTACTACAAGGGGCCCTCTCTCCAAAAAATGACTTTTTTGGAGGGGGAGGCATCTCTCCTAGTATATTATTGCATTGCCCAAATACTATTACTTGACATAAAATAAAACCTGGCTATTCCAGATGGGATTCTCTATAGAAGTTTAGATGCTTTGGGGATTTGTATTGAATAGAAAGGCAAGAAGAGTTCCCGGGTGTCAGAAGTTCTCTCTTTTTTTCTCTTTCATGTTGCTGTTTTAGGTATACAGAGCCAATGGGCCAGATGGAGCCATTGGCAGAGGCCAGAGAATCCACCTGCAGTTATGGGACACAGCAGGGCAGGAGAGGTATGAGATCTTCAGTTATGTACTCCTTGTTGAAGGAAAGAGAAAAATAGTTACATTCTTCAAACAGTGACCAGAGCAGGAAAAAGCCAGCTGATTAGTTGATTTGCACCCAGATAAGATATGCTGCCAAATGAGCAGGAAATTTATCAGTCTGAGATAATAATGGTGGCTTTGTTTCTTATAAGAGCAAAGGAAAAATAAATCCTTTTCAAAATGGAGCTTTACTTGTAGACTTCTTTTTTCTTTTCTCCTTTTTTAAAAACTAACATCCTTTTCTCCATTTTCTTTTGCTGTTTTCTCAACTACGAGAAATCTGCAATTACATGCATTATTTTTACCTGATTATCAAAACCTAACGGAAAATCTGATTGGAATTAATTCATATGACCAGAGGTTACTTGACCAAAATAAGCCACATGAAATCTGGATATAAGACTGCTTTGAGTTAACTACAGCTTCTGCTTTCTCTCACAGCCACCTCGAAGGCTTTTGTTTGCTTTAAACTTTTTATTATAGAAAACTTTAAGCATATTCAAAAGTAGAAAGGATTGTATAATGACCCCATGTACCCATTACTCCATTTTAATAATTATCAAGTTGTGGCCAACTGTATTTTCATTTATGCCCCTCACTTCTTCTTACCCATTATCCCCCATATAATTAGGATGCAAATTCCAGACATATTTCATTTTTAACATTTTGGTATGTAACTCTAAAAGATAAGAACTGCTTTTATAAAAATATTGGTTAAAATATTTAAGAAAATCCTAATTTTGCTGATTAGATGACAAATTCATACCAGTATTTTCTTCTGTGGAACCTACTTGCCATCTTCAGGCTTTGCATATAGGCAAAGTTGAGGAAACTGCCTGGTGGAGGGAAGAGAGAGGAGATAGCAGGATAAAACCCTGGAAGGCAGAGTAACAAAAAAGAATGGTGTCTGAGTCAGTATACTACTCTCACCTTAAAGCCAAACAAATGATAATCAGAGATAAGATATTTCTGTTGAGACCGAAATTAAATGATCATGGAACGTACTGTAATGTCAAGTCAAGCTTTCAAAGAAGGAAAACATATACAGTAAACACAACATTGCTTTTGTCCTAATTAACTCACAATTGTACAATAAATTATTGGCTGAGTCGAAGAGATCACTAGTTCTCATGATCCCTGTCCAACAGACTGAGTTTTCAAATCACATGATCTTTTAACACTTAAACTGATTAGTGATGAATGACTACCCTATTCATGTATTTTGTTATTAATAAACTTTTGTAAGAGGGTGGAAGCATTGCTTATTATAGCTTTAGGGTTCAGGAGTGGGGCCATGGAATAAGTGACTAATCTGCTTTCATGTCTCTAGGTTTCGCAGCTTGACAACAGCTTTCTTCAGAGATGCCATGGGTTTCCTTCTGCTATTTGATCTGACAAATGAACAAAGTTTCCTCAATGTCAGGAACTGGATAAGTAAGTGTTGTTGGTTCCTTATCTTTCTCTCCCAACTCCCCAAAATAAAATGGCCTCTTATGCTCTACTTCTGCTGTAAATTTGTTTAGAGGAGCTTCTAGCATGAATGCTGTTTAAAGGAGCAATGTTTTTAGTTTACAGGCAAAGGTAACTGAAATACTCTGCCTTTTCTAGCAATACTAATTTTGACCTGTTGAGTAATTACTAGGCTCCAGGTACAAAGCAGCACTTTGCATGTTATCTCCTAATTGGTCTGTTCCGCAGAGGGGATTCTTATTCCCATTTTACAAATGAGGAAGTAGAAGCATAGAGAAGTTAAACCTCTAAGTATCTACTTGCCTATTGTGTGTTATTAATTCTTGTATCATCCCTGGGTGATAAATATATATTACAAAAATACAGATATCTTTTGAAGGCTTAATGGATTATACCTCTGGCTCCATGCCTTTTTTGTGCTTAGAGCCTCCTTCTTGATTTTCGGATTAGAGCATCTGCTAGGAGGACCCTGCCATGAAAACTTTACTTTTATCAGTACAGTATATACATCAACTTTTATTATGGTTCTTTGGAGAGATTCTAATCTACAAAATGATTGGTGAATAGCCATTTAAAATCCTGCCACTTGACCAAATAACAGCTTCAAATGTACATTTTCCTTCTTTGGTCATATTGATGTAATTCTATAGAGTATATTAGAGAAGGCTGTGATTTTAAATGCTTAACATCCAATCTTTAAAACACTTATTTGAAAATATCTACTACTGGCTGGTCACAGCAGCTCATGCCTGTAATCCCAGCACCCTGGGAGGCCAAATTGGGAAGATTGCTTGAGGACAGGAGTTAAGAGCAGCTTGGGCAAGAGTGAGACCCTGTCTCTCCAAAAAAAAAAAAAAATCTGCTACTTAAAAAATTACTTGGTGTTTTGGGATTATGAAAGGGTAATTGGCTATAGTTTTGCTAGTAGAAACACTTGTTTTAAAAGTGAATTTTAGAGTAATTTTTCTAGTGCATTGTGGTTTTCAAAGCATTTTCACATACTTTGATCCTTACAACTACTTTGTGAGAGATTTGGGTCAACATTTGTTCTTAATTCAGGATGAGGACATCCAGTCTTAAACAGTAACAGACTTATCCAAGGGCATGGAGGTTTTGACTTTTAGCTCAGTGGCATTTTATGACCTTTCTCAAGTAAGTTGGCCACTAAGAGTTGCAGAGCTATTGACATGTGTGTTTCCCAAATGCAGTTATGCGTTCTGGGCCTCACTTTGTTAGGTGCCTGTCTGAGTTGCACACCTCATTATTTCCCTTGTAACAGAATGATGGTGGCTATTTCTTTTCCTTTCCTTTCTTTCTTTCTTTTTTTTTTGAGTTGCAGTCTCACTCCATCGCCCAGGCTGGAGTGCAGTAGCATGCTAAATGGCCACCCCAGTGTCGACCTGCTGGGCTCGGGCAATCCTTCTGCCTCAGCCTTCCAAGTAGCTGGAACTACAGGTACATGCTACCATGCCTAGCTGATTTTTGATTTATTGTAGAGACAAGGTCTCCCCAAGTTGCCCAGGCTGTTCTTGAACCCATAGGCTCAGGCAATTCTCTCACCTCAGCCTCCCAAAGTGCTGGAATTACAAGCTGGAGCCAATTGTGGCTATTTCTAGTCCCTTGTCCTCAGCCCTTGCTCATCCTCCTCTCCCTTCCATCATTGGAAGAAGTTCTGGAGCTTTCTTAAACCAACATTTTATAAGGATCACTGGAGAGTGCTCATAGAATCTTAACATTGAAAGATCATCAGCCCACCTGTTTTTCATAGGTGGTCACTGAAACTCTGAGACGTTAGATAAATCTTGCCCATTTGGGCTTTATAACTAGTTAAGATAAAGAAGAAAATTATGTGAAAATATGCATATATGTCTATGTATTTTGTTTTGCTTTCCTTTGAGAATAAAAAAATCCTTATTGCCTAGTTAGGTACAAAAAATTTATACATATTGAAGATTTTATATGTTCAATAGAAAGTATCTCCCCCTCCCACATTTAAACAAAAAGGTATGGTGCTCAGTGTCAGAATATAGTGATATCAAATCTTAATTAGGAATACAAATCAGTAATTATCTAAACATTTTATTTTTCCTCTGCCTGTCAGCATTTTTAGTATTATAAGGATCATTCATTTCCTCTTCTTTTAATCAAAATAATAACTTAAAAAATATAGATAGATAGATAGATAGATAGATAGATAGATAGATAGATAGATGGTGCATGCCAGAACACAGACAGTGTTGCATTAAAGAAATAGCTGGTTCCTGGGCCCTGGTAGTCCAGGGAAGAATGAGCAGGTTTGTATCTTCCCTCTGCTCCTTGCAAACCATCCTCTCTCATGCAGAATCTCTCCATGCCCTCTTAAGGGCAGTAGGAGTCCAAATAGAGTCCCACCTAGTTTAGGACACTGAACAGAGACTAGTCCTTTGGACCTAGATTGAAATCTGAAAGGAATTGGGTAGAGCTGTATTCACACCCTCATTTTCCTGGCGTACAGAGAACTTAAACGAGTCATGCCCAGAATCCTCATCCACTGACGACATGTTTTGTAAGAAAGCTTTATGGCCTAAATTTCTAAACTATCTTCTGGAGCCTCACATAAATGGCACAAGAGCCCCACAGTGTATATTTTACATGTTTTTCCTCTCTGTGTTTTTATCCCTTATATTCCCTCTGTCTGAAAAGTCTTCTCCACATTCACCCCATTTAAAAAAAAAACAATTAGAGTTCTGCTTATTCTTTAAAACCTAGCAAAAATGGCCTCTGCAAAATTTTCTGTGATTAACATTAGTTGTATTTAAATATTTTCCCCCTCCTCTTAACCCTTGTTACATTTTGTACTGTGTATAGGGTCCTTATCACACACTTCCTCAGGCTGTAGGTGACTTTTTTCTTAGTGAAGTATTAAAAATAACAAATCAATTTACTTTTCATATAAGCAAAATCTTCATAGAAAAATTAGGAAAAAAGAGATAAAAGGAAAAATCAACATGCATGCCTCCTAGACTCCCCAAATAAACACTGTTAGCTAACATTACTGGCTCTTAGAACTTAAAGCACTTAGAACTCCTTTAGTATATGAACTCAGTAGTTTTCTTTCTTTCTTTCTTTTTTTTTTTTTTTGAGTTGGAGTCTCACTCAGTCGCCCAGACTGGAGTGCAGTGGCCACTCCCGGCCACCGCAACGTCTACCTGCTGGGCTCTGGTGATCCTTCCTCCTCAACCTTCTGAGTAGCCAGAACTACAGGCACGCGCTACCACGCCCGGCTGATTTTTTGATTTATTGTAGAGATGAGGTCTCGCCAAGTTGCCCAGGCAGGTCTTGAACCCGCGGGCTCAGGCAATCCATTCACCTCAGCCTCCCAAAGTGCGGGATTACAGGCTGAGCCACCAAGCCTGGCAAACTCAGTAGTTTTCAAATGTGAGTGTGCATCTCAATCATCTAGAGGGCTTGTTAAAGCACAGATTTCTAGCCCCACCCCCAGCATTCCTGATTTAGTAGATCTAACAAATTCTCAGGTGATACTAAGGCTGCTGGTTCACAGACCATTCCTGGAGAATCACAGGACTAATTTAATCCTCATCTTGACCCAATGAAGTAAGTAGTGTCATTATCACAATTTACAGATGAGGAAACTGAGGCAGTCAAATAAATTCCTCAGGGTCACACAGCTAAATGGCAGAGCCAGGATTCAGCCCTAGGTGCACTGGGTCCTGAGTCTATGTTCACAGCCTTCACCATGGACATATAAGGTGTTAATAGAGCACGGAGCCACTCCAGACCAGAAAGATTTCAAAATAGTGGCAACCATGAAGCAAGTTTTGGAGGAAGGTTGTGGTTGAATATTCAAACAGTGTAACAGCCTGGAGGAAAGAAATGATACATAGTCTGGTCTTGCCTGTGTAGGTCTTGTTACCCTAGTTACCCTCTAAGGTTTTGCAAAGGACTGTCCTGAAATTCCATGCAAAGTATCAGGCCTGTGTTAATGCTCAGTAAATATTTGCCAACTTGACATTTTCTTGATAAGATATAATGAACATGACTTCATAATGAGGAACTAAAATGTCAACATGTTTCTGGTTGACCATGCTAAAAAATAAATTAGGCCATAAACTTTGAGGTATGTCTTATTGTGAAGGTTTGGGCTGTTTTAATTTCTTTCTGGAGTGTGATAAATAAGAAATACAGTTTTATTTTCCTTCTTTGGGAGATTAAACTATTTAGCTTAGTTAAGTTCTTTTGTTTGAGTCAATTGCTTTTTATAATTATGCCTATTTACAGATTATCTGGTGAAATTAAAGTTGCTTTCTCTTGGTTTTAGTGACAGAGTCATTTACTATTTATTCTGGGTCTTTTCTCTTCATTGAATCGTATATCTTGTTTGTTTTAAATGAATGGATTCTGCCTTGGGATAATAGAAATATGAGAAAAATATTTTGGATAGAAATAAGTTAGTTTATAGGAAGACAGTTCTTTTAGGAATATCATTGCTATGGAGAAAAATATATGAAAAAGAAAGCTTTAAGATTAGCAATAAGCACTAGGAACTCCTCCAGATTGCTTTTCAAATGGCCTTCATTAAAAAAAAAAAAATTTTGTCTGAGTATGTGCATGTACGCCTGTGTGGGGACTTACACTTTTGAGGGTTAGCACCTTCTCTCATAACTCTCTGATGTAAATAAGCTGGGGTATGTGCTTAAGAACAGGAGTGCTCTTATATTTCTGCACTATCTATTCAGCTTTACAAGTTAGACAATTGAGGCTTTTAAAGCATTTTATCAGTTCCTTATTCTGCATATACATTCATAGTTTTCAAAGCACTTTAGCATGTTTTGTCCATTGATCATATGGTTCTATTATTATTTACCTATAATAAACTTTCCTATATGAATAGGTCAGCTACAAATGCATGCATATTGTGAAAACCCAGATATAGTGTTATGTGGAAATAAGAGTGACCTGGAAGACCAGAGAGTAGTAAAAGAAGAAGATGCCAGAGGACTTGCAGAGAAATATGGGTGAGTACTTTGGTGCAGAAGTCTAGAGAAAACATTTTCAATATAAATGTAGCATATGAAGGGGTGATTAAAAAAAAAGTGGAAAAAAAAAAAAAAAGGAAAAACTCAGCTGTAGGCCTTGGGAGGTGTTGAATAATTTCTTTTTATATTAATATTACATGTTACCTGGAACCATGGAAAAAGCATGGGGTAAGGGCCTTCTTCAGTACTTTGGTCATATTTTCTCAGTCTCTTGGCATTTACAGAAAGACAAGTTTGAGTGAAAATGCACTGATTGTGTAAGGCCTTCTTTCCAAGATGCAAAGAGAAGACCCTGGGAAAAGGAAATCCTCCATGTTCAGCAAAGACGTTTCAAAGCCAGTTCATATGCTGTTATGAGAACTCCAGCTGCCCTTCTTGGATATTGCAGACCAAGAGCTGATTTTGAAGTTTCTATGCTGGGGGACAAGTGTGAGATCCCTTTTGGTTTAGGCTGTGGTTTTGTGATGGAGGATCAGCAAAAAAATATCTTCCTCCTTGAGTACTGGGAATAGGATCATAGTAGCAGTGGCATGAATTGGACATGAAAGACGGGGTTAGCTGTTGCTTATTAACGTATTAAAGTGTCAGCGGCAGCTCTACAAAGGAATTTGTACTTTATATTCTTTTTACATTCTTTCTATCTCTCATGCAATGAGAAGCCAAATGTATTAAAAGTGGGAGGCAGCAAGCATGGGGGCTGGGGGAGGGGAGATAAAGATGGTGTGTGTTGTGATCAGTAGGGGCTATTCCCCAGCAAGTGGTGTTTAGGCAGAATCCAAGGAGGCCAGGGAAGATCGTTTTGACCATTTTCATTGTGGGATCGCTGCTTTGTTCTTCCTTGGATTGATGGAGGTTCAGAAAGCTGATAGGGTTTACAGTGGGAGGGGAGGATAAGTAGACCAGGTGGGAAGAAGCCAGACTCTGAAGAGCTTTGAATACTGGATAAGGAGATTAGATTTGATTCCTGGGGGACAGGGAGGGATGTTATGCATACTTTTCCAGATCAGTCTGGGGTGAAGTGGAGGGAGGAACAAGATTGCAATGATACGTGAGTTGGGTAGAGTTAGATTTGTGAAAGAGGAAAAAGGGATAGTAGATTTAAAAAATTTTAAAAATAGGATGAGGCAGAACAGGGTTTTGAATTTCTCAATTCTCACTCACCTGGAGGATTCCTATCAACTGTAGGTTTACTCTGACAAGGATTTGCAATTGAATGTAGAGATTTCTAACCTCAGGGTGAATGATGTTTAATCATGTTAGAAACATCTGAAGAACTTTTTTTTTTTTTTTTTTTGAGTCGGAGTCTCACTTCATCTCCCAGGCTGGAGTGCAGTAACACCCTCATGGCCACCCCAGTGTCGACCTGCTGGGCTCGGGCGATCCTTCTGCCTCAGCCTTCCAAGTAGCTGGAACTACAGGCTTGTGTAACCATGCCCAGCTAATTCTTTGATTTATTGTAGAGTCGAGGTCTCACCATGTTGCCCAGGCTGGTCTCAAATCTGTGGGCTCAGGCAATCCTCTTGCCTTGGCCTCCCAAAGTGCTGGGATTGTAGGCTTGAGCCCCTGCACCCAGCCTGGAGAACTTTTAACATATGGTTATGTCTGGGCCTCACCTCTGAGTGTCTGATATAACGGGCCTGGAGGAGTTTACCAGGCAGGGTTCAATGGAAGAAGCCTACCTACAAAGTAAGAGATCTGTTAGAGGAATTCGACCACCTGCAGTTGTGGGAGCTCACAAAGCAGTCTCTGTCAGTCTGGAAGGAAAGATAGATGTAAAGTGGGGTGTATTAGTCTGTTTTGGATTGCTATGAAGGAATACCTGAGCTGACGATTTATAAAGAAAAGAGGTTTATTTGGCTCACAGTTCTGCAGACTGTACAAGAAACATCGTGCTTGCATCTGCTTCTGGTGAGGTCTCAGGAATCTCACATTCATGGCGGAAGGGGAGCTGGTGAGTCACATGGTGAGAGAGAGGAGCAAGAGAGAGAAAGGAGGTGCCAGGCTTTTGAAAACAACCAGCTCTTGCATGAACTAACAGAGTGTGAACTCAGTCATTACTGCGAGAATGACACTGTCATTTATGAGGGATCCACCCTCAGGACCTCTCACTAGGCTCCACATCCAACATTGGGGATCACATTTGTACATGAGATTTAGAGGGGACAAATATTCAAACTCTATCATGGGGGATGAATAGAAAAAGTGAGACCCATCTGGAACACATAATGATGGACTGAAACCCATGTGTGTTCTTGTTACCTCTGACCTAGGTGATGTGGGTGTCCTAAGAAGCCAGGGACCTTTGCCGCGGAGCTTACAACACACACCTGGCCCAGGCGTAGGTCTGGTTGCTGGTTTATGCAATGTATGAGGGTTATATAATGGCTGCTGCTTCACTTCTGCCCCTTCTCCCCCACCCTAGTCTCCACCAAATCTCTTTTGTGGTCCACCCTAACCAGAAAAGGAGTTCTGGGAAATGTTGTTCAGCCTAGCTAAGTTGACATGTTATAAATCCTGAACATTGGTACTTTATAAAAGCTCCCACATGATTTTCATGTGTAGTGATCGAGAACCATTGGCTTAGGTGATTCTTGAGGTGGAGGTTAAGTAGCCCCACAGGCAGCTATGATATGTCACTCTCCTCTCTCTAGAGGCACTCATGTGATGGAGTGGAAAAGAAACACAGGAAGACGCCAAATACCGCAGAGAATACTGAAGTGTTGAAGGTGGGAGCTGTGTTGCAAGGTGTTGAGGAGGAAATAAGCTATGAAGCAATGGAAACTGTGAATTTAGACCATGCTTTTGAGAAGTGTGTCAGTAAATGCAAAGGGCCATTAGGGGAGTTAGGTCAAGCACAAATGTATTTTAAAGCATTGGAGGAGAGTCAGGATTGACCTTCCCCCTCTCGACTTCTTGCCCTTTGGCTTGTTTCCTGTGTTCTGATTCTCAGGATTCCACAGTCTCCCAGGTAACAAAGAGCCTGACAGTGTCTTCTGTCATATTGGATACCTGAGGAATGTGGGGCCTGTCTTTCACCTGTGCCCAGCTCATAATGACTGTGGAGTGTATCACAGACAGGGGATCAGTCTGTCATTTTTGAGTTGACTTAAAATGAGAAAAGAGAGATTAGCAGGTACGAATAATTGAAACTCCCGATGAAGGGGGGAATGAATGGAAGCAGAATTCCCTTTGGGTTTAGGAAGCATAAAGTGTAGTTCTGTAGACTGATTGTCAGGTGGAGCAATTGTTTCACCTGCATTTCACAAATTTGCACAGCAATTTAATGATTATTTTCACAGAAATCTTGTTTCATGCTGAATAATTATAACATTTTCATTGGTTGCACATACACTAAAGGACTCAGTTTATCTATGTGCTAACAAAGTCAGATCACAGGGTACCGAAAGGAAGTCAGCTGTTGCATGTGGATCCTGGTGAGGAAGATCATGGTGAAAACTGCCAAGGATCATGCTCCTCTCATTCAAATCTTTTTATTTTTTATTGTAAAACTTATGATTAGTCTATTTTTGGAAAGCACATTTAAAAATGGCCATTAAGTGGCCATTTACAGATTAGTAAGATTAGCAGCACAGGATTTCATCCTGCCTTTGGTAATACTGCTCCATGGTAATGCTACAGTAGCACCACCATGTGGACAGAAGGAACAATATCAATAGTTTTATGGTTAAAGTGGTGATAATTCATCCCCTTGAATTTAAGGTAAGAATACTAAATTTTTTGCTTAGTAAGTTTTAAGAAAAGCAGAATATTTTTGAGAGGAGGAAGAAAAATCCCATTTAGGTTTAATGTTTATTTAACACTTTCTGGGTGCTAGGCTGTGCTGAGCACGTTATGTTGATCTCATTTCTTCCTTGCCTTGACCCCATGAACCAATGTGACTCCCCTTTACAGATATATAGCTGGAGGTCCTAGAACTGGAAGTGGGGATGTGGGTAGTTGGCACTAGAACCCAGAATCTTAACTGCTATACTCTATTTCTTTGTTTATCCTCATGTCCCTCCCCAGCCCCAGACTTTGAGATTTTTTTTTACATACTTAAAAAATATGTAAAGCATTTAATGAAAGTGTTCAGATAAAGTAGCTTGAACTCCTTCTAAAAGTGATCATTAAGAACATATAGACAGTCGGGCTTGGTAGCTCAGCCTGTAATCCCAGCACTGCGGGAGGCCGAGGCAAGTGGATTGCCTGAGCCCACGGGTTCGAGACCAACCCGGGCAACTTGGCGAGACCTCGTCTCTACAATAAATAAAAAATTAGCTGAGCGTGGTAGTGCGCGCCTATAGTTCCAGCTACTTGGAAGGCTGAGGCAGAAGGATTGCCTGAGCCTAGCAGGTCAAGGCTGCGGTGGCCAGGAGTGTGCCACTGCACTCCAGTTTGGGCAACAGAGTGAGACTCCAGCTCAAAAAAAAAAAGGATCAAAGAACATATACACAAACCAGGCATGGTGGCGTGTGACTGTAGTCCCAGCAACTCGGGAAATTGAAGGCAAGAGGATTGCTGGAGCCCAGCAGTTTGAGACGGGCGTGGGTTATATTCTGAGACTTTGTCTTAAAAAAAAAAAAAAGAGGAAGAGTAAAGAGAAGGACGAAGGAGAAGAAGAAAAAAGACAAATGTTTATAACTCACTCCATTCACTCGACTTTCAGTGTAACAAAAGTAAGAACAAGGCACATTTCTGTCTCTGGGACATGATTTTCTTAGGGAAGGAAAGTCTTAATCCGGGGTCTTTTCTGTGGATCACATCTAATTTGCTTTTCCTTTGGCAGCTCAAAGAGCTGAGAATTGAGTGGCGTGAACTCTAGCATTTATTTTTTCTTATAGAAATGAAAACCTTGTTGCCCCAATTGTTCAGAAACTCTGATTAGTCTAAAGATTTTAAAGTTGTTAACTTGCCTGCTGGTCACCTGACTTGGAGCTTTACAAATGGCAAGAAAATATACTTTTAATTGAAAGAACTTT